TATGAATACCGGGGCCTAGGGGCACCCTCCAATTGGATTCATAAATTTTACAATAATTGCAGAGCAACTTCTCCACCGAACGCAGGCCACTGGTATATTCCGTGATCTCTCTCCGTTCTCCTCGGTAACAAAAATGGCGGCAAGATACGAGCAGTCTAGTCGGTATAGAAAGAGCCCGTGGTCCGAACATGGCGGCGAGCGCGCAGCATCCTGCGCTCTGCGTACGCAGCGTCCCTGCTTCTGTATTTTTAGTACGTGACAGCTGGCGACACGTTGGCTGCTTTTATGCAAATGTTGGAGACACAGTTTTGATACAATGAACATGTAGGCAGGCTGCGAACGTGCGATAATTATTGACGTTCGACACGTCGACGAATGCACGCCACTGAGCCGGCTTTGGGTTGTCCCGGTTTCTTCCCTGCGACGAGAGGTACCGCACATTTCATTTATTTATTTGTCGGAATCGCCGAGCGAAAATAGGACGAGTTAGTTTCCGTCGGGTCGCGCAGCGGCCGAACTACCGATTCCCGCAGCTTTTGCTCGCGAAGTAACGCGCGTCGTCGACGAGGCCCTGCGGCGGGTCCCGCGTCACGGCCACCGAAAATCGATATTAAACGCGCTCGCGTTTTCAGACACGCAACTTGGGGAAGATGAGGATTGTGCAGCTTCGAAGAAATCGCCTGTTCCACATATTGATTGGCAGCACGCTGCTGCTGCTGGTCCTGTACATTCTCCTTAATTTCTCCTCGGACAGTCACATGAACAACATAAAGGAATACTGGGCGCAAGGCCTTGGTAAGAAACAGGTAAGCGGTACTTGGTTTTCCATCTATCCCGTTCACTTTGTATATTTGTGTACACGAAATTTTCTATCAGGTTTTAATACTGAAATTAAATTTTGCGCTTCGCCATCGAACACCCCAATTTTCGCTCGTCAATGCCACTTGGCCTGACAATATATTTAACGTTATTCCACGCAGGTGCCAGTGCTCGTAGAAGATTTGGGAAATTACGAGCTGCGTGATGTACCGGTCAGAACCGGCCCTGGAGAGGGCGGCAAGCCGCACGTTTTGAGGGACGATCAGTTGAACGACGTCCAGCAATCTGAATCCGATTACGGTATGAATATGGTATGTTCCGATGAGATCTCGCTGTCGAGATCGATACCAGACACCAGACCCGGAGAGTGAGTCTCGTCTCGTACAGCTAATAATTCAATTCAATTTCCACATTTCTCTGTCTCTCGTTCTTTCACAATACAGATGTAAACATTGGAACTACCCAGATGAATTACCGCGTACCAGTGTCATTATAGTTTTCCACAACGAAGGTTGGTCCGTTTTGCTGCGAACCATCCAAAGTGTCATGGACCGCACTCCGTCGAAGTTTCTAGAAGAGATCCTTCTCGTCGATGATTATTCCGACAAGGGTACGCGATAATTGACGATGTCCGGTGGCGCTCGGTAATTAACATGTGCGATAAACGAATGCGATCCCTTCCAGAGAATTTAAAAGGCGACTTGGATTCCTATGTCGAGCAGTGGGAGGGGAAAGTTAGATTACTCAGAAACTACGAAAGACAAGGCTTGATACGAACGCGATCCCGAGGAGCGCGCGAGGCCAAGGGCGACGTGATAGTATTTTTAGACGCTCATTGCGAAGTCAATGTAAATTGGCTGCCTCCGCTTTTAGCGCCGATTGCTGAAAATAGGTAATTCAATTTGCAATCTTATCGGAACAAAATGACGGAATATCGTTTTCAATGACATTCTCGAGCGTGTAACTTGGAAAAAGTTCCAAGTGCGCTATCAAGTAGAAAGTACGATAGTAAATCCTCGGCTCTTCTATGAACGACGCGGCTTTGCAATTTTTCTTTTAGAAACGTAATGACTGTTCCTGTGATAGACGGCATCGATCATAAGACCTTCGAGTATCGTCCTGTGTATCAAGAAGGGCACTTGTACAGGGGGATTTTCGAGTGGGGCATGTTGTATAAAGAGAACGAATTGCCCAGGCGGGAAGCCAAGACGCGTGCACACGACAGCATGCCGTACAGGTGCAATTTCTATTTCTGCGTACAGTTTTGCCGTTTATCTCTATTTCGGTTATCTCCCAATATTATCTCATTTACGTAATCTCCCGCCTATCTTTAGTTTATCCCCCAATATAATCTCATTTGTGTACGACTTACAGATCGCCGACGCACGCTGGTGGCCTGTTCGCGATAAATCGACAATACTTTTTATCACTGGGCGGATACGACGAGGGATTGCTCGTTTGGGGGGGAGAAAATTTCGAATTGTCCTTCAAGATATGGCAATGCGGCGGAAGTATCCTGTGGGTACCGTGCTCGCACGTCGGACACGTTTACCGAGGATTCATGCCTTATACGTTCGGTAAACTTGCTCAGAAGAAGAAAGGACCATTGATAACTATTGTGAGTGATCTGTGTATGCATGTATGCACTGATCGTTACCGAAATGGAGAAATATAGTCATGAAATGAATTGCTTTTATGTAGAACTACAAGCGAGTTATAGAAACGTGGTTCGACGAGAAACACAAGAAATTCTTTTATACCAGAGAACCTCTCGCGGAGTTGCTCGATCACGGTGATATAACTGAGCAATTGCTCTTCAAGGAACGCAAAAAGTGCAAGAGCTTTCAATGGTTTATGGATAACGTGGCGTACGATGTGCTGGATAAATTTCCAGAGCTGCCGCCGAATGTTCACTGGGGAGAGGTACGCGTAAAATTGCGTGAAACAAACGCGTAGGTTTAAGATTTCTCCACAAATTTTATGTATAACTTTCGTGTTGAACAACGACAATCGTTCCTCAGCTACGAAATGTGGCAACTGGATCATGTTTGGACACTATGGGTCATGCACCGCCGAGTCTTATGGCTACTTCCCACTGCCATGGGTTTGGAAACAATCAAGTAATTTGCTAATATCTTAGTTTTTACTCTACTTCGCCTCACAATCGTTTCTTTATTTTATGTTTCATTACCTTCAATCCTGTATATTTCTCTCATTAGCTCATCAGGTTGAATGCCAAGGGTCAATTAGGCGTCGGTGAGAGATGCATTGAAGCAGACGGCCAAGGTGTAAAATACGCGTTTTGTCGACTAGGAACTGTAGACGGCCCGTGGCAGTATGATGACGTAAGTTTGTAGTTCTTCGACGATAAAAATTTCAAATAAACAAAAATTTTACACGAACGTCGCATCGACGTATTTGTGTTTGCAGAAAACGAAGACGCTGTTACATAGAGTACACAAGAAGTGTGTGGCACTTCATCCCCAAACTCAGCAATTATCTCTGATGCCGTGTGACATAAACAATACTTATCAGCAATGGAGCTTCCATCAAATCCGCCCGCGATGGTAATATAAAAAAAGAGAAAGAGACCAAAACTTCTTATTTAATTTGTAAATTACTCGAAACTGTGCGCAAGTTCTCATGGAAAATACAAAATTTATTCAGTAACGTATAATGCAGGATAGTTTAGTATTTATTTGTGACCAATTTATTATACATTAGTGAATTATATAAATAAATAATTACGAAGTTGAATGTTAACATCGAACATATATCCAAGAGCAATCTTGGATTTTACATATGCGAAAGTCAGGAAATGTATTGCGGAGTGCAAAAAGTAAAATTTAATTTACGAGCTTCTTGAAGTGACTATATATTTGGATATAATTTTTTTTTTTAAGAAAACTATCCCGTTAATGCAAATTGTTTCTATTTTATAATGACTGAGGTAAACTCTGCAATGAGAAAGTTTAGTCTTTAATAACTTTTTTATATATATACGAAAGCGTACACATGTATGACATATTTTGATACATGATCTTCCCATTGCTACTGCCAAGATTTCTTCCCATGTTTCTAAGATAAATTAATTTATCAATATTTCACTTGAAATACTCCTTTGCATTCCAGGAAAAGTTGCTAATGTTACTTCTTATATATTGTTTGAAAGATAAAGGTTGATATTATTATACATAGAAATTTATACTTATTTCTGAATGAAGATTGTAATTTATATATAGATACTATACATCTGCGTGAGTCTTGTGCGAGAATGTGTGAAGATTTATACATAAGGAGAGATATGTACATTCCAGAAAGGTGAAATACTTATTACATATTTATAAGATGTTTTTATTTTTATACGGGTGGGCCAAATTCTTCATCGCTATTGTAAAACATTTTATACGTTTAATGATTGGGGGGAGGGGGTGTATAAAACTAATATCTCTACAAACATTGAAATGAACCTATTAAGTAGTAATAAACAAAGAACGTTTCCTTATTTTATATAATAAACGATCTATTTATATAGCTTTTTTGGTAAAAATCTAGAGTATATCCTTTGTTACTCTATCATAAAATTGTTCTTACATAAAATTTTATACTTGTTAATGTTTGTTTCAGATTTATACCTCGCGTATTAAAACAAAATTTTATCTTTTTGGTTTTATCATATTTTTTTCTATTTTTATTGACATAAAAATAAGAACTATCGCTGTTACGAAAAACGCACAACGATATTGCGCATATTCATCTGCAATATGCGGAATGGAAAATTTTCTCTCATCAAGTATTGCTATCTTGATGTAAATTTTAAGATTTTTGACGCAGCTTAATGTGTCAAATTTTGATATTTCTAATGCAGCTACCATATGAATGTACTTAATCGCATTAACGACTGTTATTACGATCCAATTTAGAGTTTAAAAGCAATAGATATGATTGTGCAGTTGACTTATAATGTAAGATAAAAATGCAATGTATTCCAATGTAGATAATATATTTTATTATATGCAAGATGTACTTAATTGTTTAATTACTTGGCTAGAATTCCGTTGCATAACGTTGTATTTCGATTAAAGCGTTAAGAGAATCATATTTTAGATACAAATATTAGTATTTATATGGATTTCCCCCCCAAAAAAATTTATCACTTCTTCCTTTAATAACAAGCCGGGAAACTTTTGAAGATTTTTCTATCAATCTTTAGAGGGTCGATAGAATGTCTCGAATACAAAGTTATACTTCTGCATCCGAATTATATGATAAATATAAACATATATTTTTCCCCTTTAGTAGTAAGACAGGAAAATTTTCGTGATTTGAAAAACGATCCTGCGGCGTTCCAAAGATCAAAATGGAACTTGACAATTTTATACGCTCGTATGTTTACGCCGAAATAAATACAAATTATTGTTTCACACTGAAATGTTACAGGTTTTTATTGTTCAGTGTTAACGTGTTTAAAAAATATGACATTGTGGAAAAACTTTTGCATAGAGCACATACGTTTGTAATTGTTAATATACAGAGTTTTGTAACCAGTGAAACAAATGTGATGAACGTGTACGTGAGTCTGTAACGAAAATCACGTTATATAGATAACGAAAACATAAAATTACACAAGCGCCATTTATTAATTATACTTACTGCAAATACGGAATCAATTTTAACTCGCGTCCCGTGACTTACTGAGTCGTATTGACAATGTCGTCGATCTTCAGTATACTGCGTACAGTTTCAGAAGCGAGAGTTATCGAGCTAGTAGAAACTAGCAGCGGTTGAATCACGTTCTCCTCCAGTATGTTAGTAATGGCGCCTTTCCGAACATTAATTCCCGCTGTTACCTCACCCTTCGCGTGTCGATTGCGAAGTTCGGTCACCGTAGCTATCGGATTCAAACCCGCGTTTTCGGCTAACGTTGACGGAATCACCTGTAATTTATAAGTTACAAGATTATTAAGCATTGTGTCGATTATTTCAGGTTAATTGTAGTCAATTGTAATTTCATATTCTCAGATAGAGTGAAACGTTTTTAGGATACTGAATAATATGTGACAGAAGGGTTTGTAAAGTAAAAGATCGAGGACCACTCTCGTGATCCGCAAATAATGTAAAGAATTTTGAGTGAAAAAAATATTCTACTGATAGAATAAGAATCGAAGAACAAAACTAGCAATTACACAAATAGATATGATAATCCTTTCTTAAAGGGAGTAAATTGAAGTACATATGATTAGGATATTCTTAAAGTCCATCTACAAAAGAACTATATGCACTTGATACTAACTTCAAGCGCATCTGCGAAGGCCTTAACGCAATATGCATCAATGCCGCCTAAGGTCACTGCGTATTCGCCCAATTTTAATGCCAATTCAATCTCCGGTGCTCCACCGCCGGCAATAAGTGCTCGTTGCTTCACCAAACACCGAATAACGCACAAGGCGTCGTGCAGTGATCTCCCGGCTTCTTCCAACACTAATTTGTTGCTACCACGTACGAGAACCGTGACTGTTTTCCCGTGGTTTTGAATTCCTGTGATCTGTGTGAAGAAAAAATCCATTATACGCATAATTTATATTTTAGATATGTTGCAAATTGCAACAGATAAAAGATAACGTATATTTGTAGTCATTTTCGCTTTTCTAAAAATAGACGTACTTTAACAAATTTCGAACTTCCAGTTTGAACTTCCTCGCAGAGCTCCGCATTGACGAGATTTTCAGGCACAAAATGATCCAGCGACGCGATCGGCCTGCAACCCAGCGTTTTGCACACGAAGGGAATGTCCTCGCGCTCCACATCTTTTATCACCATGACCTTAATTTTGTCCAAGAAATGTATCGCAAGGTCGCTGATGGCGTCGCGCAAGACCGACTTTTGCACGAGGAGCACGTTGCAGCCCGACTTCTTGATCTGTTTTACAATATTCAATATGTAGGCACGTTCCTCCTTCAAAACACGATCCATCGCTGCGTAGTCGGACACAATAACATTATGATCCATCTAGAAATTACAGAGAGCCGATTATCATCCGTAGACGTAAAAACGAATACATTTGTATCAAGTTACGTCGCGATGCTCACGTCGGTCTTCGGCGGCGAGATGCAAAATTGGATTAATCCAATTTTAGCTTTCTCAATACGTTTCGGGCCGTTAACATTGCAAGATCTCTGGGTAAATATCAATCCATCTACCAATTCAGTGTCCTCGACGGTACCTCCTAACTTCTTTATCACTTTGATATCCTGTGAGAGGAGAGCACATAAGCAAATTCATGTTAGTCCGCTAGTTTATTAAGGCTGCGGTCAAGCTGTCGCTTCAAAGGTTTTCAAGTATTCTTCTCTTCTCTTTCAGAGAAGATAGAAGGAGAAGAGAAACATGCTTCGAAGCATTTGTAGCGGCGGTTTGACCGCAACCTAAATAACATAATAGCAATATAATGAATTTTCTCTCACATTCAAGTCAACTGACACTTCCTTTCCTTCCTCTGTAACCTTTAATACTGCGTCCACGGCCAGTGGTGCAAGAAGACTAGATTGTTGGTGTACAACCTGAAGTAATATAAGCGTTAAATTGTTACGTACATAATAAATTGTATAAGACAAAACTGCCAAAGTATAATATTAGTTCCTCTATTGTGAGATAGGTCACATTAGGATCGAATCTCGTAATAGGGGACTCTCCTCTGACATTAAACGCATTCAGACCTTGGAATTAAGAGACGTCGCTGCGACCTTTACAAGAGATTCTTTGTCGCTCAGGTCAACAGGTATGGACATATGCGTCAGAATTGACACTGCTTTAGATGCCGCTTTCTGAAAAGCGTCGCTGATCGAAGTGGGATGAATACCCTTCTGCAACAAACGTTCCGCTGCCTCTAGCAATGCCCCGGCTATGACAACTACACTCGTGGTACCATCGCCAGCCTCTATATCCTGGGCCTTTGACAACTCGACGAGCTAAACACGTGGGACATACACCGTTAACGCAAAGTTTCACCAAGTTTAAAGCGACAAAAACTTTCTTCTCACCATTTTCGCAGCAGGGTGGATCACGTTTATCTCTTTCAGGATAGTGGCACCGTCATTTGTGATGGTGACTTCACCATTGCTGGATTGAATCTGTATTCATATTTGCAATATAAATAAGTACTACGCATATAATAATTTTATATGTAACTTTGTCAAGTAAAAGAAATGGCAAATATGAAATTTACCATCTTGTCCATGCCTCTAGGTCCAAGACTCGTGCGTATCGCATCGCTGACAGCTACAAACGAATAATAATTCAGATTATTTCCATTATGCAGACAAAAACTAACGAAACGCAAGCACATATTACAAAATGTGAATTTAATAGTATCCCTTGTTGCATATCTGCTCACAATCCATGTAACTAAATCGCTGGCTAAACAGCGGGGATTAAGTGCGCTAAGTGCTGCCAGTCACTGTCGACAAAGGCCGCTTTACCTTCAGGAGACACAAATCGACACAAGTTAACACACTCGAGCGCAGTGAAATGGCAAAGATTTAAACAAGATCTTGTATAAAAAAAAAAATACTCGGGTGCGTTCTTCGGTCAAAAGCGCACTCCGACTCTCCTACCCGAGCATCAGAGTCGAAGAGTGTCGGTTGAGTTTGAATTAAATTCCAAATGGAAAGCGACGTGCGTCGATTCGCGTCCAAAAATGTCGACTGCGTTCTCCAAGAGGTGAGCCAAAATAGCTAATAATTTTGATCGCCCGACAGATCTCGCTCGGCGGAGCGTGCCAGCCGCTCCGCCGACTTCATTGCTATATAAGGCAATGCTTTCTTCGGCCTCGCGCGCGTCACCCCATAACCGACCGAGCTGCGACGTGTCCCGGACAGTCCCGGTATGCGTTCGCGAGACCGCCCGATCGCAATTCTACCTTTGGCAGCGTTAATATTGCTGCTGCGAATGTCCATGGGCTTGCTCTTGTCCTTATAGGCCTTCCCATGCGACCCGCGGCTGTCGCCATTCTCCATCAGCTTCCGCATCATGTTCTTGGTCATGGTCTCGTCGCCGCTGGCGGATTCTCGAGTAGGTTAGGGAGACGACACGCCTCTGCCTCTTCAACAGCGTGAGAGTCGGTTAATGCGTCGCTCCACGAGTCGCGATTATCTCTCACGTTCGACCGTAATTTACGGAGTGCGTCGATGCTGGTCGATGCGAAAACGCGGCGTTCGTCGAGGACGAGGAAGCACGTCGCGTCGGCGTTGGATGGAGACTCGTTGAATCGATGGATCATGGAGGAGAGCCGGGTCTTTGGCGCGTGCGCGGATATTAGCCCTCATTCACATGGAGCGTAACTTGCGTAGCGTAACCTGCGTATCACCAATCACAGGGTCATTCTGATAGAACCGTTTCAATGGCCGCGTTCAGCAGACACAACTGTTGAGTGAGCGCTCAGTATGATTGGCTAATACTTTTAGATCCAGCCAATCATGTTAAGAAATCATTGAGCGTTCACTCAACAGTTGTGTCTGCTGAACGCGGCCAATAATTCCGTTGAACTAGTCCTGTGATTGGCGATACGCAGGTTACGCTACGCAACTTACGCTCCATGTGAAAGCACCCTAAGGCTCGGAAATTGTGATACCGACGACAGGCACTGCACTGAAAGTAAAAGAGATTGAAAATCTAAAATATTTATCGAAGCAACACTCGGGCAAGAGTTTTGAATGGTTTCTTACGGGACATTTTGTGAGCACTGTGGATTATTCTGTGATTACTTTTGAAAAGCAGACTCTAAGGTACAAGATTCTGAAATAATTGATTGTTACCTTCTAAATTCGTAAAACGCGTTTGCGCAGTTTATTTATTCTTGCACAACGACAACGCAGTTTTTATATAAAAGATAGAAAGGTAGAAAAATTTATTAAGATTGAATTTTAAATTGTGTACGAAATTATATTATTTTTCATTGACTAATATAAAAAGATTAACGCCCTACAATTAGACAGAGTTTTCATACAGAAATCATATATGATACGTTACAATTTTTATGTTATTATTAAATTTAATTTAAAAAAACACCAAACTTTTAATCACATCGTAACAATTGTCCCACAAATTAACATACTTATTTGCTTGGCTGCTGACTCTCTCTTCCTTTCTCCGTTTTAATAAAACAATACAATGTTTATAAGATTTAAGAGAGGACTCTTCCATTTAAAAAAATCCGCAAATACTTTTTTATTTACAGTTCTCTAAATATTCAGCTCGCTCTCGCGAATATAAATAAAATCACGAGACTCGGCAGTAATAACGCTATAATTCCGTTGGAGCTACTAAATTTTTAAACAAATCTAACCGCATTTTATGTTTATATACTGATTTTTAAAAATTCCACAACAATTTTGGAACAATACCGCGACAATTGCAGCTCGTTGAAAAGCGCGAAACTCTGAAGAAGCGTACTTGAGGTTACGTCAGCGTGATATTTCTAAAAATTCCTTGAAATTCATGCTTAATCTCGATTAAACGCCGAGTCCAACGCTAGGCGCTTAAAACCCCTTCAGCGCTGAATTTTTGAAAATTCCCTTAACGAGAAAATACGCGGGACGTGGGCCGGGACCGAGCCGTGGATCCTACCGTCACCAATCACTCGTGTTGGCACAAAGCTTACGCGTCATCCCTAAATTTAGGAGAGCCCTCGCTGGGGCCCCCCGACAGGCCCCTTTTCGTCGGCCGCGTAGGGCCGGCCCTGATGGCGAGAAGCGTCAACAATCTCCCTCCCCTCCCTAATCCCCGTCGACGGAGTCAGAAGCACCTGTTGCTCGCCTACCTGTTTTACTCGCTCCGCGGCGCCGCTTCAGTACGTCGCGCGGCACTTCGTCGGGAGGGACGTGCAGTGTGTGGATCGCCGGGTCTTTTCGCGACGTGAAATTTGCGCGCGCGTGCGCGCGCAAACGAGCGCAGGCTAGACGTGAGATCGCGGAGCGTGCGAAAGGATGCTTCGCCGCGCCGGCATTTCCGCGACCGACGGCTGAGACGCCGGGATCCCGAGTTCGACGGATCGATTCAGCGGTGAGACGAGATCTCGCGAGTCGGCGAGCGAATCCGCGGCGTCGACACTCTCGCCGCGGTAACGCGAGAACAGGGGCGCGATTCGGCGGCTGCGATTACCGTCCGCGACGCACTTCACGCCGCGGAAAAGCGCCGCGCCGCCTCGTTTCGTGGCTGACGCTTCGAATTCGCGGACAGGAGAGTCGCGGGTGATCGGCGCTTATCGGTTGTCGCCCTCTGCCCGCGGGGCGCCTTCAAATTTTCGCACTCGGCGGGCGATCGGTGGAACGTGAAAAGAGGAGACGGAGAAGACGCAGGAGCGGAGCAGTGAGTCCTTCTTTTTCTCTCGTCGAAGCGGAGTCTCGCCCGGGCGGATCGGTTCGCGCGCGTGAAACTATGCGGCCAAATTGACGACACGACGAAGCGGGAAAGGGAGAAAGAAAACGAGGCAGAAGAGAGAGAGAGAGAGAGAGAGAGGGGGGGAGGGAGAGCGAGTCGCGGAGGCAAGTCGCGGGCAAGAACGCCGCGACCGGTTGAAGCCGCGCGAGAATATGCGCGAGAGACGGACCTGAGCGCGATCGCGGAGCCATGGAGGACGCAGCAACAGCAGCAGCCGCGGCACCAGCGCAGGATACCTGCTTCGGGGCGGGCAGCGTGGCCGGGGCCGTGATCGGGACCTTTCTGACGACGATCCTCCTGCTCGCCGTCGCCGCGCTTCTCTACAGGCAGTGGCGCCGGCATAAGAGTGAGTCTCTCGTTCCTCCAATTTCAACCTGTTGAGCCGGCGAGCCGACGGAGACTCTTTTTTTCCCCCCCCACCGGCTCTCGTAGCTTACGAGGGCTGCGCGGGACGGGATTGGGGCTTTCTCGCTCGGCGAATTTGTTTGTGAAAAGGGCGTACGTTCTAGTGGAGGGTTTTGCGGACTGCAAAATAATTATACGGGGTGTTCCGGATAAGGTTTACAACCGCTTGTATACAGGTGGAGCGGGTCAAACCAAAGGGAAAAGTTATGTACCGTTTTGCAAAATTCCCAACAGTTGGCGAGTAATTAGTTGAAACGTCTGAGCGAATCAGCGCGGGGAAAGCGGTAGGCCGGGCTCGGCAGGCACACGTTAAATGCCCGTATTTGTTTAGTCTCGTTGCGGTGAGGGACGAGCGTCGTCTGAGGCTCGCCGCTCGCTGCGTGACAATGCCTGTGTCCAGCAGAAGTTTGCGCTTGCTAAGCGCTTTGCGTTCATTGGATTATACTTTCAGATCTGTGCTGAAATAGAGCTATTCTTCTAGATCTATCCAATCAGCATAAAGCGCTTATTCTTAGCTAACTTCGGCAGAACACAGCCAATGCTTTTCCGTTGCGTCGCCCTACCTCCCGCCATGGAACGCCCACCGTTGCTACGAGACCAAACAAATGAGGCGTTTAATGCGCTCGCCGAGTCCGGCCTACCGCTCCTCGTGCGTTCATTCGCCCGGATGTTTTTATCTGTAACTCGAAAACTATTGCGAACTTCACAAAGTGGTACATAGCTTTCCTTTTCAGTTTAACCCGCTCTACCCGTACGCGAGCGGATGAACACCTTATCCGCAACACCCCGTATACGTAACAAGAAATGTTGTATATACATATATAAATGTTACATGGATGTATGTGGAGGAGGTGCCCTATTATGAGACAGCGGAGTTTTTGATAAATTAATAGGCACCATCTGTCGGTTCCACCATGAATTCTATTGCCCTTGGGGTGAAATCTGTTTCACGGAACATTGAGTGTCTCTGTCTCATAATAGAGGACTTTCGTCTGTACTGTTTCGCTTGCTATTTGTATAATTATTTCATATAAATTGTTAAAATGCGGCGTTTAAAATCAATTAGAAATCGATTTAAATGCGCGAATTTGCTGACGACAATATTCCGTCTAAGGCCTAAGCGAAGCTGTGTTTACGTCCGAAAAGAAACCGGCGTACAGGACAGGTGGAGAGACGGCATATGAATTCACATATTAGACTGAAAATTATTGGGTTGATTCCATCCGTTGATTCCACCGTGAATTTATCGCCCTCGGAGGGAAATCCGTTTAGTGGAAAATTCGTCGTTAGATTGCGCAATCGTTCCGATTTGCGATTGAATTTGGGCGTTGAAAACCTGCTATCTCATATTAGAAACCTATCTCGTAATCGAGGACTTTCCTCTATTTGTACAATATATAGACACGTATCATGCCGGTTTTGGAACAGCTCCCTTGCATACGTAAAACTGTTTGATTTCCTAAGAACACGTTACCGTCCGCAAGACTATAAAATTCCCGGACTCAGCAGCGACTTCGTGAAAGGAGGATTAAAGTAAAGAATGCGCATTCTTTGCATGTGCGCCCGTTTAAATGTCAAGAATCTACGAGCGTTTTCTGCACACATCCGTGGGAATGTCCGGTAAAACGTATTCGTTCCTCTCATTCGGAGAGATGACGCTCCGAAAATATCGCTGTGGACACAATGAAGCCTCGTCCTTCCGACTGGAAAAAGATAGATTGCAACGTAGCGCGCCGCGGGAACAATGAGCCAATGTCATTCGGAGAAATAGATGCGGGAGGGGACGCACTTCACACTTCGGCGAGTATCCCGGTTCGAGGATTAATTGACGCTATTTTTAAAGGTGTCTCCATTGATTCGCGGCTGTATACATTCTACTGGTCTAACGTGTGGCAAAATTTCGAGGAACTCTCATACAATTCTTCGAAATGCCACGTTGTCCCACGATTACATGATTTTCAGGGTAAATTTCAAGAAGACTTCTCTGCGTGTAAAATCCCTACAAGCAATTGCAATTCCGCTACGATCGCTAAATCTCAAGACAGTTTTCCGCCGAGAGATTGAGAAAAACTTCGTCCCTGCCGTTTCCGAGTGAATTCTCTTATCAACTCGCGCGATTTTATTCGACTCGAGACGAAATGCCGAAACGACGAATTTATAAAACGACCCAGTGCAATTGGTATGTTCGACTTTTGCACGTCACGTTCGATTAACGCTTGAAGTTGCGCGACATGAAAAATTTGGCGTTGTGGGAAAGGAATTGAAAGTGATTTTACACGCCTTGACACTTTCCATACGAAATTACTGGTGTAACGAGTCGCGGCGGTGCGAGTTTCCGCGAGTAAATTTTTATCGAGCGATCGATTCGCGACCTTTTTCGCGAGCGGTCGCTCTAATCTAATTTGCCAAACGGAGATCCTCGATACGGAAGGTTGTCACGGCGGAAAACTATTTTTTGCTGAGATTTCGCAACGGAAAATTGTCTTGAGATTCAGCGGTCATAGTGGAATTAGTGATTCTATATGGAGAATTTTCTTTTAGAATTTACCCTGAAAATCATGTAATCGTGGGACAACGTGGCATTTCGAACAGCTTTACGAGAGTTTTGTGAAATTTTACCATACATATTATTAGTAAAATTTCAAAAAATCTCATAAAATTCTTCGAAATGTCACGCTGTCTCACGATTACATGATTTTCAGGATAAATTTTAAGAGAAAATTCTCTCCGCGTATACAGTACCGTATTTTTGTACAAGGATTATGGATTACGACCAAAAAATGTTTTATTTTCATGGACAATGGAAATTGTCGACGGAAGAGACAAAGCAATCTTCTTTTTCACGGCAGATGCGTAACTCAAGCAACATTTCATAACTCGGATATCTCACGGTATGCCAGGAATGTGATAAAGTTGCGGAAAAAGTTTTCACCCGTAAACAACCAAGCGCGTTTGTTCCGACAGCCGAAACGAGAGCCCGACGCTCCTCGATCTCCGAAGGGCCCGCGCACTCGCATCTCGTTAGGGAATTGCATTCCCGCGAGCCTCGGGCTCGTGACAATCGGCTGCATTTTTGTCGAGATTTTTGCGCGGCCGCCGCCACGCACGTACGATTCGGTGCCGGTGAAAGTAATTCAACACGCGCGCCGAGCGGCGAATGTATATATACCGGTATCTGTTACGATATTCGACGCTGGCGAAATTCCGATGTTACACACGCGTGCGAATATTAACCCGCGGTGTCCCCCGCGATCTCGCTTTCGTTGGCGAATATTACGTTTCGTCGCCGGCCAAACATCGGGAGGGAGTTCCCCGACGTGGAGGAATATAAGGGTGCGTTCCGTTTCACGCGTGATGCGCATAAGTGTTGGTCTACAACCTTGCTTTAAGTAAGCTGTAAGCCTTGAGCCGTAAGAAATTAAACCAATCACAGGTTCATTCCCCTCACTCTCACCTGTGATTGGTTAATTTCTATCTCTTCTTCTTATTCTACAATGGACGCAAAACGCAAGACGCTAAGCCGCAACGCAAGAAATCGTCCAATCACAGTCAACTATGAGAAGAATGATCGACTGTCATTGGCCGATTTCTTGCGGCTTGCGACCTGTTGCGTCTATTGTAGAACCAGCCTAAAGCAAGGTTGTAGACCAACACTAATACATCGTTCACCCTTATTTAACGTTTGGTGAAACCGGGCCTAAGTCGCAACGCAAGAAACCGGCCAATGACAGTCGATCATTCTTCTCATATTTGTCTGTGATTGACCGATTTTTCGCGTTGGGGCTTAAGCGTCTTGCATCCATTGTAGAATAAGCTTTAGACTGCTTCTACAGTGGACGCAGCAAGTCGCAAGCCGCAAGAAATCGGCCAATGACAGCCAAGTATTCTTCACAGCTTTGGCTGTGATTGGTCGATTTCTTGCGGCTTGCGACTT